ATGCGCTACCGTTGCACCATAAGGCCTGACGACATTTGCTTCCAGACATCAAATCGCCAATCATCTATTGCCAAAAACTTACTTCTAGAGATCAAATGGATGATCATCTATTGTTGCCAGTGAGCAAAGGGTTACAAGAAAACTAGGTTTCAGTTAGAAACAGGGAGCAGATTTCACAGTCAGATCATACGAGTGGCACAACCTGACCTTGATGTGATTTGAACACACAACCTTCTGATCTGGAGTCAGACGCACTACCATTGCACCACAAGGCCTGAAGACAGTTGCTTCTGGACATCAAATCCCTGATCATCTATTGCTAAAAGTGAGAAAAGGAATACAGGAAAGCAACACATTTCTGTTAGAAGAAGAGAGCCGATTTTACAGTCTGTTTTAGAGGAATGGACAATGTGAAGACTTTGACCTTGATGTGATTTGAACACACAACCTTCTGATCTGGAGTCAGACGTGCTACCATTGCGCCACAATGCCTGAAGACATTTGCTTCTAGACATCAAATCGATGATCATCTATTGTTGCCAGTGAGCAACACGTTACAAGAAAACTAGGTTTTTGTTAGAAACTGGGAGCTGATTTCACAGTCGGATTGGACGAGTGGCCCAATCTGACCTTGATGTGATTTGAACACACAACCTTCTGCTCTGGAGTCAGATGCACTACCATTGCGCCACAAGGCCTGAAGACAGTTACTTCTAGACATCAAATCGCCGATCATCTATTGCCAAAAGGACTACAGGAAAGCAAAACATTTCTGTTAGAAGAAGGGAGGAGATTTTACAGTCTGGATTAGAGGGATGGACAATGGGAACACTCTCACCTTGATGTGATTTGAACACACAACCTTCTGATCTGGAGTCCAATGCGCTACCGTTGCACCATAAGGCCTGAAGACATTTGCTTCCAGACATCAAATCGCCAATCATCTATTGCCAAAAACTTACTTCTAGACATCAAATGGATGATCATCTATTGTTGCCAGTGAGCAACAGGTTACAAGAAATCTAGGTTTCTGTTAGAAACAGGGAGCTGATTTCACAGTCAGATTATACAAGTGGAACAACCTGACCTTGATGTGATTTGAACACACAACCTTCTGATCTGGAGTCAGACGCGCTACCGTTGCGCCACAAGACATGAAGACAGTTGCTTCCAGACATCAAATCCCCGATCATCTATTGCTAAAAATGAGAAAGGGATTACAGGAAAGCAGAATGTTTCTTTTAGAAAAAGGGAGCAAAATTGAGATTAGAGGAATGGACAATGAGAAGACTTTGACCTTGATGTGATTTGAACACACAACCTTCTGATCTGGAGTCAGACGCGCTACCTTTGCGCCACAAGGCCTGGAAACACTTGCTTCTAGACATCAAATCGATGATCATCTATTGTTGCCAGTGAGCAATGGGTTACAAGAAAAATAGGTTTCTGTTAGAAACTTGGATTTCACAGTCGGATTGAACGAGTGGAACAACCTGACCTTGATGTGATTTGAACACACAACCTTCTGATCTGGAGTCAGATGCGCTACCATTGCGCCACAACGCCTGAAGACAGTTTCTTCTAGAGTTCAAATCCACGATCATCTATTGCTAAAAGTGAGAAAAGGACTACAGGAAAGCAACACATTTCTGTTAGAAAAAGAGAGCTGATTTTACAGTCTGGATTAGAGAGATGGACAATGGGAACACTCTGAACTTGATGTGCTTTGAACACACAACCTTCTGATCTGGAGTCAGACGCGCTACCTTTGCACCACAAGGCCTGGAAACACTTGCTTCTAGACATCAAATCGATGATCATCTATTGTTGCCAGTGAGCAATGGGTTACAAGAAAACTAGGTTTTTGTTAGAAACTGGGAGCTGATTTCACAGTCGGATTGGACGAGTGGCCCAATCTGACCTTGATGTGATTTGAACACACAACCTTCTGATCTGGAGTCAGATGCGCTACCGTTGCGCCACAAGGCCTGAAGACATTTGCTTCTAGACATCATATCGCCAATCATCTATTGCCAAAAATGAGAGAAGGATTACAGGAAAACATGTTCCTGTTAGAAAAAGGGAGCAGAATCTGTATTAGAGGAATGGGCAATGGGAAGACTTTAACCTTGATGTGATTTGAACACACAACCTTCTGATCTGGAGTCAGACGCGCTACCGTTGCACCACACGGCCTGGAGACACTTGCTCCAAGACATCAAATTGATGATCATCTATTGTTGCCAGTGAGCAACGGGTTACAAGAAAACTAGGGTTCTGTTAGAAACTGGGAGCTGATTTCACAGTCAGATTGAACGAGTGGAACAACCTGACCTTGATGAGATTTGAACAGACAACCTTCAGATCTGGCGTCAGACGCGCTAACATTGCACCACAAGGCCTGAAGACAGTTGCTTCTAGACATCAAATCCCTGATCATCTATTGCTAAAATTGAGAAAAGGACCACAGGAAAGCGACACATTTCTGTTAGAAGAAGAGAGCAGAGTCCACAGTCTGGATTAGAGGGATGGACAATGGGGAACACTCTGACCTTGATGTGATTTGAACACACAACCTTCTGATCTGGAGTCAGACACGCTACCGTTGCGCCACAAGACCTGGAGACACTTGTCTCTAGACATCAAATCGATGATCATCTATTGTTGCCAGTGAGCAATGGGTTACAAGAAAACTAGGTTTCTGTTAGAAACTGGGAGCTGATTTCACAGTCGGATTGGACGAGTGGAACAATATGACCGTGATGTGAGTTAAACACACAACCTTCTGATCTGGAGTCAGACGCTCTACCATTGTGCCACAAGGCCTGAAGACAGTTACTTCTAGACATCAAATCGCCGATCATCTATTGCCAAAAGGATTACAGGAAAGCAACACATTTCTTTTAGAAGAAGGGAGCAGATTTTACAGTCTGGATTAGAGGGATGGACAATGGGAACACTCTGACCTTGATGTGATTTGAACACACAACCTTCTGATCTGGAGTCAGACGCGCTACCGTTGCGCCACAAGGCCTGGAAACCCTTTCTGCTAGACATCAAATCGATGATCATCTATTGTTGCCAGTGAGCAATGGGTTACAAGAAAACTAGGTTTCTGTTAGAAACTTGGAGCTGATTTCACAGTCGTTTTGAACGAGTGGAACAACCTGACCTTGATGTGATTTGAACACACAACCTTCTGATCTGGAGTCAGACGCGCTACCGTTGTGCCACAAGGCCGGAAGACAGTTGTTTCTAGACATCAAATCGCCAATCATCTATTGCCAAAAATGAGAGAAGGATTACAGGAAAACAACATGTTCCTGTTAGAAAAAGGGAGCAGAATTTAGAATCTGGATTAGAGGAATGGACAATGGGAAGACTTTGACCTTGATGTGATTTGAACACACAACCTTCTGATCTGGAGTCAGACACGCTACCATTGCGCCACAAGGCCTGAAGACATTTGCTTCTAGACATCAAATCGATGATCATCTATTGTTGCCAGTGAGCAACAGGTTACAAGAAAACTAGGTTTTTGTTAGAAACTGGGAGCTGATTTCACAGTCGGATTGGACGAGTGGCCCAATCTGACCTTGATGTGATTTGAACACACAACCTTCTGATCTGGAGTCAGATGCACTACCATTGCGCCACAAGGCCTGAAAACAGTTACTTCTAGACATCAAATCGCCGATCATCTATTGCCAAAAGGACTACAGGAAAGCAAAACATTTCTGTTAGAAGAAGGGAGGAGATTTTACAGTCTGGATTAGAGGGATGGACAATGGGAACACTCTCACCTTGATGTGATTTGAACACACAACCTTCTGATCTGGAGTCCAATGCGCTACCGTTGCACCATAAGGCCTGAAGACATTTGCTTCCAGACATCAAATCGCCAATCATCTATTGCCAAAAACTTACTTCTAGAGATCAAATGGATGATCATCTATTGTTGCCAGTGAGCAAAGGGTTACAAGAAAACTAGGTTTCAGTTAGAAACAGGGAGCTGATTTCACAGTCAGATCATACGAGTGGCACAACCTGACCTTGATGTGATTTGAACACACAACCTTCTGATCTGGAGTCAGACGCACTACCATTGCACCACAAGGCCTGAAGACAGTTGCTTCTGGACATCAAATCCGTGATCATCTATTGCTAAAAGTGAGAAAAGGAATACAGGAAAGCAACACATTTCTGTTAGAAGAAGAGAGCCGATTTTACAGTCTGTTTTAGAGGAATGGACAATGGGAAGACTTTGACCTTGATGTGATTTGAACACACAACCTTCTGATCTGGAGTTAGACGCGCTACCATTGCGCCACAATGCCTGAAGACATTTGCTTCTAGACATCAAATCGATGATCATCTATTGTTGCCAGTGAGCAACACGTTACAAGAAAATTAGGTTTTTGTTAGAAACTGGGAGCTGATTTCACAGTCGGATTGGACGAGTGGCCCAATCTGACCTTGATGTGATTTGAACACACAACCTTCTGATCTGGAGTCAGATGCACTACCATTGCGCCACAAGGCCTGAAGACAGTTACTTCTAGACATCAAATCGCCGATCATCTATTGCCAAAAGGATTACAGGAAAGCAAAACATTTCTGTTAGAAGAAGGGAGGAGATTTTACAGTCTGGATTAGAGGGATGGACAATGGGAACACTCTCACCTTGATGTGATTTGAACACACAACCTTCTGATCTGGAGTCCAATGCGCTACCGTTGCACCATAAGGCCTGAAGACATTTGCTTCCACACATCAAATCGCCAATCATCTATTGCCAAAAACTTACTTCTAGACATCAAATGGATGATCATCTATTGTTGCCAGTGAGCAACAGGTTACAAGAAATCTAGGTTTCTGTTAGAAACAGGGAGCTGATTTCACAGTCAGATTATACAAGTGGAACAACCTGACCTTGATGTGATTTGAACACACAACCTTCTGATCTGGAGTCAGACGCGCTACCGTTGCGCCACAAGGCATGAAGACAGTTGCTTCCAGACATCAAATCCCCGATCATCTATTGCTAAAAATGAGAAAGGGATTACAGGAAAGCGGAATGTTTCTTTTAGAAAAAGGGAGCAGAATTGAGATTAGAGGAATGGACAATGAGAAGACTTTGACCTTGATGTGATTTGAACACACAACCTTCTGATCTGGAGTCAGACATGCTACCTTTGCGCCACAAGGCCTGGAAACACTTGCTTCTAGACATCAAATCGATGATCATCTATTGTTGCCAGTGAGCAATGGGTTACAAGAAAAATAGGTTTCTGTTAGAGACTTGGATTTCACAGTCGGATTGAACGAGTGGAACAACCTGACCTTGATGTGATTTGAACACACAACCTTCTGATCTGGAGTCAGATGCGCTACCATTGCGCCACAAGGCCTGAAGACAGTTGCTTCTCGAGATCAAATCCCTGATCATCTATTGCTAAAAGTGAGAAAAGGACTACAGGAAAGCAACACATTCTGTTAGAAAAAGAGAGCTGATTTTACAGCCTGGATTAGAGAGATGGACAATGGGAACACTCTGAACTTGATGTGCTTTGAACACACAACCTTCTGATCTGGAGTCAGATGCGCTACCGTTGCACCAGAGGCCTGAAGACATTTGCTTCTAGACATCAAATCGCCAATCATCTATTGAGCAACGGGTTTCAAGAAAACTAGGTTTCTGTTAGAAAGAGGGAGCTGCTTTCACAGTCAGATTATACGAGTGGAACAACCTGACCTTGATGTGATTTGAACACACAACCTTCTGATCTGGAGTCAGACGCGCTACCATTGCGCCACAAGGCCTGAAGACAGTTGTTTCCAGACATTAAATCGCTGATCATCTATTGCCAAAAGGACTACAGGAAAGCAACACATTTCTGTTAGAAGAAGGGAGCAGATTTTACAGTCTGGATTAGAGGGATGGACAATGGGAACACTCTGACCTTGATGTGATTTCAACACACAACCTTCTGATCTGGAGTCAGACGGGCTACCATTGCGCCACAAGGCCAGAAGACAGTTGCTTCTAGACCTCAAATCGCCAATCATCTATTGCCAAAAATGAGAGAAGGATTACAGGAAAACAACATGTTCCTGTTAGAAAAAGGGAGCAGAATTTAGAATCTGGATTAGAGGAATGGACAATGGGAAGACTTTGACCTTGATGTGATTTGAACACACAACCTTCTGATCTGGAGTCAGACGCGGCACAAGGCCTAGAGACACTTGCTTCTAGACATCAAATCGATGATCATCTATTGTTGCCAGTGAGCAACGGGTTACAAGAAAACTAGGTTTCTGTTAGAAACTGGGAGCTGATTTCACAGTCGGATTGGACGAGTGGAACAATATGACCTTGATGTGATTTGAACACACAACCTTCTGATCAAGAGTCAGACGCACTAACATTGCACCACAAGCCCTGAAGACAGTTGCTTCTAGATATCAAATCGTGTTTCTGTTAGAAAAAGGGAGGAGAATTTAGATTAAAGGAATGGACAATGGGAACACCTTGACCTTGATGTGATCACACAACCTTCTGATCTGGAGTCAGACGTACTACCTTTGCGCAACAAGGCCCGGAGACCTTTACTTCTAGACATCAAATCGATGATCATCTATTGTTGCCAGTGAGCAATGGGTTACAAGAAAACTAGGTTTCTGTTAGAAACTGGGAGCTGATTACACAGTCAGATTGGACGAGTGGAACAATCTTTTCTGATCTGGAGTCAGACGCGCTACCATTGCACCACAAGGCCTAAATACAGTTGCTGCTAGACATCAAATCGCCGATCATCTATTGCTAAAAGTGAGATTAGGATTACAGGACAGCAACATTTTTCTGTTAGAAGGGAGCAGATTCTACAGTCTGGATCAGAGGGATGGACAATGGGAACAGACTGACCTTGATGTGATTTGAACACACAACCTTCTGATCTGGAGTTAGACGCCCTACCATTGCACCACAAGGCCTGAGACAGTTGCTTCTATACATCAAATCGGCGATCATCTATTGCCAAAAGTGAGAGGAGGATTACAGGAAAACACGTTTCTGTTAGAAGAATTGACAGGGTTACAGGAAAAATGTGTTTCTAACAGAAAGCTACTTTGACAGTCCCGAATATAGGAAAGGACATGATTTGAACACCCAACCTTCTGATCTGGAGTCAGACATGCTACTGTTGCACAAGAAGGTGCCCAAACAATGTAGTACTCACTTCTAGAGATGAGCCAGAAAGGCACGTAAAAAATAAACTCAGTGTTTTCCAGGAAACACAATGAGTTCCTGTTTTAAGAAATGTAAGTAGTTGAATGTCATCTGATCTACTTATTGTAAGTCGCTTTGGACAAAAGCATTTGCTAAATGCAAATGTAAATCTGACCACGACATGATTTGAAAACACTACCTTCTGATCTGTAATCAGCCATTCTACAATTGCACCACCAAGGTCTAAAAGAATGCTTTTCTTTACCTCGATGAGCCAGCCCAGAAAGGGATATATGAAAACAGTTGTTTCACTGAAAAAAGTTTCTGGGAATGAACGTAGTTGAAAGTGACTGCAACTGTCATTTTGAGGTGGCAAGCAGGTGCACAAGCACTCCAGATTAAAGGCACCCATTTAAATGGAGATGCAGCAGTATGTAACCTGGCAGAGTTGGTCGGTTGATTACTCCACATAAGGACCGGTATATTACAGAAGCATTCAAAATGTGGCTGGAATGTACTGTATAATGAAGTGCTGCATATGGGCGCATATCATACATAATAAAACAATGATACCCGCTTTATATTCAGGGTTATCCAGCAAACTTATTATGGTCAACAACTGTGCCAAAAATAACTGCGGACTTGTTTTGAATGTATGAGTCTAAATAAGTATCACATGAACAGGGACACTTTGGTCCTCAGTGTATCTTTCCCATGTCTTTCTGTGTGAGTGTGGGTGCGCTTCTCATTTCTGTCACAACCAGACACCATACATGGAGGTTTAATATTGAGGTCAAACACTGTTGAGAAAAAAACTCACAATGCACAAAGAGAGTTTTACCACACAAGGAATTAAATGCACAAGGGTTTCCAATTGGAAACAATATTTTAGGGCAGGGGGTACAGCTGAAAGTAGCCCTCTGTTTTGAGTCAACCATGTGAATTAGCTATTTAGCACAACTAGCTAATTAGCTTGATCAGTTTAGCAGTTGAGTAAAAAAAAAGAAGACTTTTACAATAAGACTTCTACTTTCTGAACGTGAGAGCTATCAGGAGACCTGGGTTGCCGCTACGGTGGCACTGTTGCAAAATGCGAAAGGTCAACATTTCCAAATAAATGCCAAATCACATGATCCCTGACTTTGTTTCCTAAAAATGGCCACTTACTCCCCGGAGGCCAATGTTCTGTACAGCCGCAAGAGCTCATCCTGTTTGGGCGCTTGGGACTCCGGCGTGCACGGAATGTCAAAGTCCGACGAAGTCTGCGAGTCCGGCAAGTCCTCCAGCTCCCCCGTCTGGAGGCTCCGGCTGTCTCCTCTCTCCCTCCGAGGCCCGCAATTAGTCGATGGAGGCACTTCTGCTCCGCCCTCCTCCTCCTGCTTGGATAGGAGGATCACGGTGTCCGGCAAAGATGGCCCACGGCTGAGGCCAATGGGATTGGATGGTGACTTGGGGCGCATGAGGGGAATCGCTGCTCGTCTTCCATCGCCATCGAAGGCTTCGTCGGCGCTTTCAACATCGCTGAAGAGCTCAGGGGTTTGCGAGCCGGTCATCCTGGAGGGGGAGGTGCTCAGAGCGGAGCAGCAGGACTGGGCGAGGCTGTTGAGGCTGCTTTGGCTGTCAGGCAGCACATCGGCAGTGAAAAAGTCATCCCACTTCGGACGTGAAGGTTCCACTACTCTGTCCGTACCCCTGATTTCACCCTTTCCCTCCGTAACTCCAGTTTCCTGTCTTTCATCTTCTACTTCTTCGCCCGCCTTTCTTCTGGCTTCTACTTTTACATTGGAACAAGTTGGCGTCTCTCCCTCATCCTCCATCTCCTCTTCCTCCTCGCCGTCCTCTTCGTCGTTGGACTCGGTGCAGTCTATGTAGTTGAGCGCGGCGAGGGGGGCCGCGGCGCAGTCGTTCAGAGCAAACGGTGCTTCCACGGGGACCTCGCTTAAAGGGCTCACGTCTTTCACTGCAATAGATGCCAATAATGACCAAGTCATTAATCAAATAAAAGTCAATACAAACCGTCAATACAAAAAAACGGAGACAATGTTCTGAAAGGCCAAAATTAAAAACAAAAAACTGAGCATTGACTGTATAGAAGAATAGATAAAATAATCACTTAACGTTGCAGTAGAAGTTAAATCAAAAGGTCACTCACCATGATCTTTCTCTTCCTTGTTCAGTGCCATCTTCTTCCTCATTGGTGCCAAATTCGGACCCTCAAACAGCCCGTCTCCGCTGTCCGAATCTACACATCACACAAAATGTAGACATGAAAAAATACAACAAAGAGCTAATATCGGAGGGCAAAATAATAACCCACAACCTAATGGGTGACCACAGGTGTGTTTGGTTTTTGGGTGTAGGCGGGTCTCACCGTATGCAGGTCTCTCTGCCCAGGGGCGTTTGAGCTCTCCTAGGGGTCTGTATGTGAACACTGCGTGCTGCGTCTGGTCCCTGCACAGCGGTCTCAACCTGGATCACCATTAAGAAGCAAGGAGGAGGAGGAGCAGAAGGACGTTTACTCATTCACCATTTTGAAATGTTTTGAAGAAAATTTGAACACTATGTAAAAAGGGGAATATACGTATGTATACATTCAATGACAATATTGGAATACAAACACCTGTAAGAAAAACTATCAAGTAGGTTGCTAACGCAATCATTTTCTATGATTTAAATGATTGTACAATGTCAAACGTACAACATCTGACAATACGAAAAGCGGCACTACAGGTGCTTATCATTGTGTTCTTTTCTTGGACTGCATTGGCTATT